GTCCCATGAAGTGCTGAATGCCTTCAGTAACATGATCTACTCCTGCCAATCCTAGGAAAAATAGTGGGATTTAGCAGGTCTGGGATCATACCGGATGAAAGAGATAGTCCTTTACCAACATGAATGTTAGATGATGCTGGTATGGAAGACAGAAAGAACTGAGGCCCCTAAGCCTCAACAGCACGCTGCCATTATGTGACCTTCACTAATTGCCTTATCTGCCAGTTATGAATGGAAACTATTTTGAAGAGAAGCCCAGAAGGGAGTCCTTTTCTGTTCCGATGATTTCAGAGTTGGATTCGGATGGTGATCAATTAAAACTGGAAGAACGGTCTAAGGAATCAGACGCTGTGTCCTCAGCATGCACAGTCTTTGCAGATTGGGTCTTCCTCATAAAATTGTCACCTGGGTTATAAAGCAACAACAACAATAACAAAAACGTGTATTTTTTCTTTTGTAGGAAAATACTACAGGCCGGACAGCTGAGGTACATGATGAAACTCTGGGAGTTTCAGCAGCAGCGMTCAGAATTATACTGTTTCAGCCCCTACGTGACAATTCCAGGATGGCAGATTTCCRAACTGAGCTCCTGCCCACACCAGGCACAGGTCTGAGAGTGACAAGCAGGACAGCTGCTGTACTGCTCTGGGGACTTGGGCTACCGTCTCCACACGGCCCTGTCATGTAGAAGCCCAGCCATGTGCTTGAGGCTCTCCACGGACACGGTGGCTGCGCTGAGGGAGGCAGCCTTGGTCTGACTTGCTGTTAGAACTGCAGTGGGTTTCCAAAGCAGCTGATACAAAGCTGCACCTGCAAGCTCCATCCGCCGGTGCTGCCCAGGCTTGGCTGCTCCCGGTGACCGGYCGGCTGAGGCTTGGATGGTGGCCCACACACAGCCCTGCCCCTCGCTCCCCGGCCCTGCCCCAAAAAGGGGAGTTACTGCTTTGGCAGCACCTTCTTGATTAGCACCTTCCAGGACAGCACGTGCCAGGGAAACAAGTGAGGAGCGCTTCAGCCCTCCGCCGTGTCCAGCGCTGTGTTGCTATGCCCAGCAGCAGCTCAGTGTTGTGGAAAGTAACTGGAGATGAGATAGCTCTGTACCCTTGGAAATCCATGTCCTGCTGAGGTGGCTGCACATCACTGTGTCCTCTGAATGCTTTGAAACTTATTCCAGCGAATATAAGAGGGCACTGGGTACGAAGCAATTCCACCAGAAGCACCTTGCAGACTCCACTGTTCTGGTAGCCACAGGACTGAGTGGGTACAGGGCTAAACTGGCACAATTACAAAAGTGGGTCAACTCACCTGTTAGGTATTCCAGGTCAACAGTGAGAAGCAAATAAGCTCTTTATATTGCTTAAATTACAAGTGGATAAACTTCAGGTACTGGCATTTATCCCTGACTACCCTACTAAAGGAATGTGCTCCAAAATGGGTTATGCTGAAGAGTCAAGTGGTTTTGGTGGAAGAAACTAAGCAGCCCCAGAAAAGCGTAGTGTTAATGGAACTAATACTTCTCCTCCCCTACCTCATGCAGTAACTTTTCTCTGGGGATAAAGCTTAAGAAAGAATCAGCCAAGCCCTTGTGTAACTTGTGGTTTGGCTTTCTGCCTGCTCTGCCCTTCAAGCAGGAAATTCTCAAAGGAAAGGGAGTGCTTTGTGAAGCTACCTGGAGACTACGCTGCYTCTCTTTTAGTCAGAACTCAGCATCAGGTCACCTGGAACTCCTGGAAGCTGACCAGACAGACTGATGGCGCCTACAGAAGGTATTTAAGCAGCTTCTCTACCTTGATCATTTTCCCTCATCTTTTGTCCTTTACATCCTTGATTGCTGTTATTCAATCCTTAGATAATATGCTCCTGATACCACCAAGTTGGGAGAGGCAAGCAAGGAGGAAGAGATCAAAGGAAGGAGAAGAAAGAAAAGATGCCAAAGGCGGAAGAAGAAAGAAGATGGCAAATACTCCCCTGATTTACCTACTTTACCTACCTGGTACATAAAGTTACACAAATTCTGAATACACTTAATTTTCAGAGTTTAGGCATTAGCACATAGGCCCCAGACAGCAGGAGACTGTCAGCAGGGACAGGCATCCTCTTTTCACCAGCAAAGGAAGCAGTTGAAAGCTGGATCCAGGAAGCACAGGAGGCCCTTGGCACGGGCAACTGCTGGCTGGACTTAAAAAGAAACCTCACTGGAGCAGGCTGTGAGGATTTTACAGTATCTTTCTGCTTCCCTCTGCTGGCCAGATAACAGACATACCATTTTATTCCCACAAGCCAGGAAAGGATGAGGAATAAATAGTAAAAGATGGGAGGAGTCATGTTCTGATAACACTACACAAGCATAAGGCTGAGCTAATTCTAGTGATTTCTTTGAGTTTGCTTCTGGGTTGCAGGAAGGATGCGATACACAGACATGTGTCCTGCAGAGCTCTACCAGACTGTATTGGGAMCAGAGCAAACCTGCGGGGGTGACCGATGGGGAGAAGGTAAAGATGAGGCTACTACAGGTGGGATAATTTCAAGGTTTAAACCAGTAATATTTTTAACATACAGTTAACAGTTGTGACTGCAAAGCCAATTTAGGAACCTCAATCTACACTTTGTTGCTATTCTTGATTACAAGACAAGACTATTACGAGCGGCAAAAAAAAAAAAAAAATCAAAACAAAGACATGAACTTCAAACACTGTTACTCACCCGATTACACTGAAATCTCTTTGATTGAGAATTAAATCCCTTTTTTTCTGAGTCTAAGACTGCCTTTGTATGGTATTTATAAGGACCGGAGGAAACCTTCAAACCTAAAAGGAAAAGACAATGAAAACAAAATTCTGAATATGAAGATACAGGAAACATGTAACTGCAACACCACCTTTCATATTAAATGTGTAAGTTAAAGGCAAATATAACATTAATGCAGTACTGAAGTCAAGAAATCTGCAGTCATTTCTGCATTTAATTTCCTTGTTTTATTTTAGAAGCAAAGAAAATAAAGCACTTTGAAGCACTTTAGTGTTGATGAATGGGCTTTAAGAGTGACTCAGTGAAGTTAAATAACTTTTGTGGTGTGTTCTCATTCAGAGTCAGGCTTTTTAGCAGCTTGTTTCATGCTGGGGAAGGTGCTGAGCGCCTCTCCCTCCTGAGAGCTCAGTCTGATCCTGACCTGCCAGAGCCTCCCAAGCAGCRTCCTCCGCAGGCCTCGACCCAGAGGCTTTGGCTTGGCAGTATTTTTGAGGCAGAAGCTGCAAGTTTTTTTTTAAATTGCAATGCCTCTGAGAGATATATTGGGGGGAAAAATAAGAAGATCTTCTCCAGACTTGTGTTAATCCTGCCATTCATGGAGYTGCAATAGTGTGGCAAGAGGAAATGTTACATATAAGCCCAGTGGAAATGTGCGCACGTTTCTGACACGGGATGAGAGGGAAGCTCTGCAGTTAGCAGGGAGGTCAGAGGCACTGCTAGGGAAAAGGCTCTCGCGTCACAGCGGTGCTCGTCGGCAGGACAGGAGCGGGTCAGGGCTACTAGAACAAGGGAACAGACTTCCCACTGCCTGCGAACTGGAGGGTTAYGATTTGATGTCATTGCTGAAACCCTTGGTCATTTTCCCTTGGGTTGGTTTCACTCTTCCCAGCTAGATATTGATCTGGATGTCACTTTCTACGATTGGTTTCATTAATACATCTTTGCTCCACTTTGAAAGAAAAACATTGGCACGGTTTGGCTTCTTCTTCAGTCATTAAGTGGTGGTTGAAGCGTTTCTCTTCCCTCCATGTACCTTGCTTTCCCTCCGAGTGTCCAAGAGCATCCAAGGAGCAGGAACCCATGCTGCCGAGCTAGGGCCAGGGCRTATTGAGCGCAACGCCTCCACGGGGTCTCCGGTGTGCATCTGGAACGCCAACCCTTGACATTAACTGTCAAACAACTGCTGGGATGTCTCGCCGGGCCGCAGTGCCCCAGGCGCAGCCGTCACCCGCCCCGGGTCCCCGGGTGACTCGGGGATGTTCGCAGCCCAACGGGGCCGGTGCTGGTGCCTCCATCCCTGCGGCAGGGGAGGCTGAGGGCGCGGGGAGGCATCACCGCGAGGGTCTCTGGAGAGGCCTAAGGGCTTCGCTGCGGCCCCTTGGCGCCCTCAAGGACCCTCGCGTGGCGGGGCAGGGACCAGGCCGCGGCGGGCAGTGGTGCATGCCGGGAACGCCGTTACCGGTGAGGGGCGGCGCGGGGCACACCGGGAAGGGAGGCTGGGACCCCTGGCGGGGCTCGGAGCGGGCGGCCCTACCTGCCCCCCGGCCCTACCTGCCCCGGGCCTACCTGCCCCCCTGGCTCGAGCCGCTCCGGCCCCGGGCGGCACCGGGGCAGCGCACACATGGTTGCCGCGACAACGGCCTCTTCTCCAATCACTCGCCTCCTTACACTGTGCGCTTGGGCGCGTGTCCAATGGCGGGCGAGCTTTCAGAGCCCGTACCGCTGCTTAAGGTGGCCTGGCGCGGGCTCAGAGTGCGCAGGCGTCTTAAGGTGGCTCCGGGGGGCGGGAAGGGCGGTTCTTCCCCGCCCGCCTCGTCACGGCCCGGCCCGGCTCGGCTCGGCTCGGCTCGGCCCGGCCCGGCYCGGCTCGGCTCGGCTCGGCTCGGCYCGGCCCGGCCCGGCTCGGCTCGGCYCGGCYCGGCTCGGCYCGGCYCGGCTCGGCTCGGCCCGGCCCGGCTCGGCTCGGCTCGGCCCGGCCCGGCCCAGCGGCAGGTACCGAGTCCGCCCGGCCCGGCCCGGCCCGGCTCGGCTCGGCTCGGCTCGGCCCGGCCCGGCCCGGCCGCGCAGGGGCGGCCTTGCCCCCTCGCCACGGGGGCATCTGCTCCTTCCCCTGCTCCCGTTGCCTCAGGGCGGCTTGGCCCCCTCGCGCCGGGGGGTTTTGTCCCCTCGCCCCCGTGGCGGGGGCTCTGCCCTCCTCGCGGCTGCGCTGCCCTGTCCCCCCGTGCCGGAGGTGCTTTCCGCCTTGATGGGGGTCCGGCCGCCGCAAGGTGAGTCTGTGAGGAAAGCGTCCCGCGCCTGGACCAGAGCTGGAGTTTTGGTAAAGCGAGAAGCACTCATGGTCTCTGAGCGTGGCACCCTGGCGCGTGCAAAGCCCAGGGCCCCTCTGTTCCTTTGGTTTTATCCCCTGCCATCCCTTCCTCCGGTCCTCCCTCGGGGTCCCCGGGGAAGGAACCGCTGAGGTGTGTGGGGATCGTGGGCAGGTTCTCCAAGGAATGAGCCTCAAACTCCGCTCACAGCGGTTGTGCCCAAGTGACCCCTGTTCAGGCGGGCAGGAGCGCTGTCACCGCGGCACGGGTGTGATGCTGTGTCCTGGAGAAGGAACAGAGCTCAGCAGGCTGCTGGGGGCAAAAAGGAGGCGTTTGGGAGACTTCGGATGCCTTTTGATTAGAGCTGCCCAAAGGGAAGGCCTCCTGTTAAATACTGGTCAATTATAAGTCACCTTCAGGGCCTTCGCCTGGTTTGCCAGCTTAATTAAACCAAACACTTTGATGCTTGAGACATTCTGATAAGTTGCTTAAACTTTTCTTTCCCTGGTGATATGTGCAGATATTCGTTTGGTAGCAGGGAGTTTTCTGWAAAAGTTTGAGATTTGTGGCCTATTTGTGGCAGGATTTCATTGCAGGTTTTGTACCATGGAGTTCATTTGACCTAATTCTCCTTTTTAGTCTTTTCTAGTGTCATTTGGAGGAACAGGACCCTGCTGCCACGCTAGCCCACTGGAGGTGTTGGCTGATGTACTGCTCTGGTGGGACACCCCTCTCGTCTCAGCTTAGTGCAGTGGGAAGAAAAGCAAGAGATACCCCACGGAGAGGGGCTCCTGCTTCACTGGCCTGATCGACCTTGGTTGAAGGAAAACGGGATGGAAAGGAAGAAGTGGTACAAAGCCCCAGGTGAAGTGGTTCCGCCAGCGTCTCAGTCTCGTCCTTAAAGGGCTATTCCAGTGTCGAAGAGACTGAAAAGCAAATGCTCCAGTAAGCCAAGATGGAAGGAGGCAATGGTGCAAATCTGCAACTTCAGCAGCTTCCACTTGCCACTGCAGCGGTGTCTGTGCAGCCACACACAGACTCCTTTTCGTACAAGGTCAGCTTTCTGCTCCAGGGTACCCCTAACAGGCGTTATCTGTTCAAGTAACTTTAATGCAGGGCTGTATTTAGCTTTGTTTTTGTGAAAAGTTCACTGTCTTTGTATTTGGCCATGCCTGAGAGCCCATGTATTACACACTATGTGTGTATGCAGTGAAAGGAAGAAAGAAATCTTATATCTTGAAAAGCTAGACATAATGGAGCAAGATCTGCCAGCAATTAGCAGATCAGATGGATGTCTGAAGGTGGGTAGGTGCAATAAGCCCTGCTCGGCGGTGCCTTTTCAGCCTAGCTCCCCTGTCAGTAATTGAGATGTTTTTTATCTTCAAGTGGCTTGGTCGAGCATTGCTTTATCCTGTATGAGAAGAGCAGGGATAGTATAGTTACTGTTGGAGGAAGAAAACAAATAGGAACTCGGGTTATTCACAATCCAAGTATATTGTATCTTGGAGACCTGTCCTGAAATGAAAAGTGCTCATGAYGTCTAATGAGATGTAGGCAGTTGTTGGAGGAACATAGATGTTAAATGGCTTGGCTTGGCCTCAGGCTCTTCTGTTGACTCAGAAGACACTCTTCTGTGTACATTCCTTTGTGATTCAGCCTGCTTTACATATATATTTTTTTTTCYTTCAAATTCTGTCTTTGGACTATAGGAATTAGTGCTGAGATAGGAATGCTAATGAGGAGGTTGGGAGCTTGCTAGGAGTTCCTGCTTGTTGTCTTTCGCTTTAGAATAAGCAGTTCATATATGTTGTCATGTTTTTCTCTGAGAAACTGCAAAGAATGCAAATACATGCATGCTAATTTAAACCTTTCATAAGAACTGTCAGTTAAGGGAGGGTTGTTTTTCAGTTGAGTTGAGTTTCACTTGAGTTTCACAGTTTTGGAACAGAGGCACGTGGAACTGGCCTGAATTGCCTAGACAGGGTGGAAGATAATTGGAGTTTTAGTGACAGCTGATCTAGGAACTGTTTTTAAGTCTCTCCTCCTGCTGCTTGAGTAAAACCCTCATCTCCTTCAGGGTCCAGTGGGTTAAGTATATACCTGTATATTTACTTTGTTTTTACAGGAGAACTTGATTGGTGCATTACTGGCCATCTTTGGACATCTCGTTATCAGTATTGCACTTAACCTCCAGGTAAGTGTCGTGAAACAAATACTGCTACTGCCTTGAGCATCCTGAGCTTAAAGAGGTTGCTTGAAGGCTAACACAAGGCTTCTGTGCCTGTCTTCTGCTCTAGAAATACACCCACATCCGCCTGGCAGGTTCCAAGGACCCCCGAGCCTACTTCAGAACCAAGACATGGTGGTGTGGACTCTTTCTGCTTGTGCTGGGAGAACTGGGAGTGTTTTCCTCGTACGCCTTTGCTCCTCTTTCACTGATTGTGCCACTCAGTGCAGTGTCTGTTATAGGTAAGATGGAGAGAGATGCCAATTGTGTAGGGCCGTATGTATTTCAGTGTGAATTGAATGCTCATAATTGGGCAAAAATGTAACTTTTTCTTTTCTTCTATTTTCATAGCTAGTGCAATCATAGGAATTATATTTATTAAAGAAAAATGGAAGCCCAAGGATTTTCTAAGTAAGTTACACAGTTCCATCTTTTGGTTTTAGTTTTCCGCTATTTTTAGTTTTCCTCTCTGTTTACAAGCCATCCTGCACACAGCTTGGCCTCTTAGGAGTCATAATTGGAGGGATGGCAAGATCTCCACTAGCTATAGTGCCTCTTCTACTGTTTGTTGAAAATGAATTTTCTTGTTTTGGCTTGTGCCAAACCTGCAGAATCTTGCCTTATTGTCTAGCTCTTTTTAGAAACATGTTGAGGTGGTTTTTATTATCAGGATCTCAAAATCATGGCTCTGCAGGCTGAAACTCTAGCCCTGCAGTAGTCCAGGCACAACTGAATCAGCTGAATATCATGAGTGTGCAAGGGTCTGCAGAACTGGGGCCAGCATTCTTCCCTCTCCTGAAAAATGGTGTGTAGGCAGGGTAGGCTGCAGCTGCAGGGCTCGTAGGCCCTGTTTGTTTAACAGATGCTCCCTGGCATGAGCTCTTTCCCTCGACTCGCAGCCCATGCGCTGCCCGGGGCGGGTCCGGTTCTCATCTTTTGAAAGCGGGGCATGAAGGGCAGAGACGTGTGAGTCACGCGCTGGAATGCCCGTGATGTTATTAATGGTCACTGTGCATGTGTGATATCAACTCCACAGATCTGCACTAACACACTAACCTTGTCCTCTCTTTCTTTTTATTTCCTTTGGTTGCCGAAGGGCGCTATGTTTTGTCCTTTGTAGGCTGTGGTTTGGCAATTGTTGGAACTTATCTGCTGATAACGTTTGGACCTAATAGTCATGAGAAGATGACAGGAGAGAATATCACTAGGCATTTAGTGAGCTGGCCATTTCTGTTGTATATGGTAAGATGGCCCATAAAATGTGGCACAGTTGTGTTCTGCTCTATGCCTGATGGGGTCTTGGATTTCAAGCATTCTTTTTCTTTATGGTTACTAGCTGTGTTTCCTATTATTAATGAAGCTAYGCAAACTTCTGCACATGTCTATTCTGCAGTGCATGTGGACACCTGCATGCACAATTTGGGACCTTGACATTTGTTGTCCGAATTACTCGTAGGATTTAAATATGTTAAATGGAAAGGTTTTTAGAAGATGTGCTCTCTGACCTGCCATTCGCAGCCTGTGGCACTAGGTTAACGGCAGCAGCAGAGAGCAGCTGCTCCAGAGGTATCCAAATCCCATGCTCACATCTGTTTTGTTTGTTTGTTTTTTTCCTAGACTACCTTTATCGGGAGGCATTCAGTTCCTACTGAAAATAATGCTAAGTTTCTTGGGTTTGGTGGTTGTGTGGGGTTTTGTTTGTTTGTTTTTGTAGGGAGTAGGCTTGGCAATTAATACAATGCGTGTTGCAAGGACTGTGGGAAGAACTTCATTAGGGAAAGTAGGCTGAGATCTGTAAAGTGAATATTCAGTCCGGATAACTTGGTCGGCTCCTTTGCTCTGCACACAGTCTCAAAAGTATCCCATGCTTCTGTTCTGTGTTACTTAATAACTCCAAGAAGTTATTTAGCATCTTATCTARTTGGAATCTTAGCAATCATGCTCAATTTGATCTGTAAYTTTGTGGATCATAGGGKTTTTTTTTCCTTTGATTTTTGTCCTAGTATTTGCATAGCTCAGAGTCCTATTTGTTGCCACCTCCTCACCTCACAAGCACCTCACCCCTCACCCCTCACTTTCTAATATACACATTTTTCTTTTTTTGTAGCTAGTGGAGATCATCCTATTCTGCCTGCTACTATATTTTTACAAGGAGAAAAATGCAAACTACATTGTAGTTATTCTTCTCCTGGTAGCTTTGCTGGGTAAGTTGATATAGACCTGTAACATATTCCAATATTGAACTATACTAGTAAACTGCAGTTAACTAAAGTGGCTCTATTGACCTAGTTGATTTATCTTATGATATTAATTTAGAAATGTTACTACAAAATAGATAAACTCWCTAGATTGTAATAGCATTTAGGATCTGTGCATATGATCTTTGCCCTTGAAGATTATTTCCCATAAGGACATAGAGCCTCCAAAAAGCAGAAAATGCAGGTTACCTTTTAGTGTTATATTTCCCCATCACTCTGTTGTTCAGCACTGCCTGCATATTCACAGGTTCGATGACTGTTGTCACCGTGAAGGCTGTGGCAGGCATGCTCGTCGTCTCCATACAAGGAAACCTCCAGCTGGACTACCCTATATTTTATATCATGTTGGTGTGCATGGTCGCTACAGCGATCTTTCAGGCAACGTAAGACACGTTCTCTCTCCTCTTGTCTGAAACTCTGCTGGTTTCGGTGGGTCAGTGGACTGTTCGTTATTGGAGGAGCAAATTTTAGTGAGAAGAGTTATTCAGTTCTCTTCTGTGAGTTGTCCTCCAATCCTGGCCACAGGAGCCTGGGTTCTTCCCCACCATTTCATGTAGTGATATTGCCAAGTAGATCTGAAATTTATACACAATTCAAATATTTGGGGGGAAAACAAAGCACAAATGAAATGGTGAGAGATCAATATGCTGTCTTTGCACTGCCCAAAACCAAAGTGGGATAAGTGTTACTGATGATGCTATTTTTTTTTCCTCTGTTGTAATAATGTAAAATGCTGGTAGCAACAGAGATGRTAAGTTATTTAAAATGTTGGTGACACTTTGGTCCTGTGGTCAGTGGCAATACCTTTTTCCTTTAGCAAGCACAGCAATAACCTTGTCTGTTTTCTCATTTTTATCAAACCAAGTGCTGCAGTTCAGTAAGAAAGAGAATAAGGTTTCTTAAAAATATGTAGTATAGTTCCTTGGAAATGTGTCCCCAAGGAAGGAGTACTAAACCAGCCAGGACAACTGTTCTACAATTTGCGTGCTCCTCCCAAGTCGCCCCACATCACCTGTGATTGTATTGCAGGTTTTTGTCTCAAGCCTCCCAGCTGTATGACTCATCTCAGATTGCCAGCATCGGCTACATCCTGTCCACAACGGTAGCAATCACAGCAGGTAACAGTGCAAATGTTCATTCTTAGTGTGGTAGCCCCCTTTCAAAGSGAAGAGAAAAGGTTCTGGAGAATATTCCTCATTCCCAGCTTAGGTGAATACTCAGCAAGACTATGACTTGTGTTTTCTTGTCATCTCTCTTCTGCAGCTGGCTTTTTTATTTATTGGAATATGTTAAAATGTTCCCTTAAGATCTGTCCTTTATTGACTCTGGATACTTAAGTTTGAAACTGCTAGTAAACAAGATCTGTTAAAGCAGAAGTCAGATTCCCTTTTTCTATTTTAAGACCTTCAAAAGAACAAAGATACCTAGCTATAAAAATAGAAATCTTATGTGACGAGTTACCTGAATTGATCAGGGCTGGAGATCTAGCAGTAATTGTCTGTGAAAGCTGGGAAGAGAARTTTCATAAATCATTTCTGTTTCAAGGAGCAACTTTCTACTTGGACTTTACTGGTGAAGATGTTCTCCATATATGTATGTTTGCACTTGGGTAAGTCTTTGACTTTTTATTTAAATCTGAAGAGTATTTCTTTACATGGCGAGGAAGGAAAAAAAAAAAACAGAAAAACACACTCTTTCCTGCACTTGCTGTTTTGAAGAGGGAAATGGTCTGAACGGCCACTTAGACAAAGCGACATGCAATACTGTCTCTTCTCCCTTTCATGCTCACCCCATCACATTTTGTCTTCTCTCAGGTGCCTCATAGCCTTTCTAGGTGTCTTCCTGATCACAAGAAACAGGAAGAAATCGATACCCTTTGAACCTTACATATCAATGGATGCTATGCCAGGTAACAGTARAAAATCCAGTGCTTTATCACCTTGTATTTTTAAATGCTTGCATTTCAGAGKGAAAGGAAAAAAAATCATGTATTTGGGGAAATACAGCTATAYTGTCTATCTGGTGAGCTTCATAAAAGACATGCTGCATTTGATATATAACTGACTGCCATCCCTCATCCACTCTATCAGTTGCTTGACTGCTAAGCAGAAAACCATTATGTCCTTCATTTAACACTGAAGAACTGATGAGCCACGGATCACTAACGCTGAGATTCACTAACTTTCTGATTTAGGGGAGCGCAGGAAGTGTGCTCTTCCATTCCTAAGCATTTGGTCTCTGTCTTTGCTCTTTTCAGGCATGCAGAACATGCACGATAAAGGAATTGCAGTCCAGCCTGACCTCAAAGCTTCTTTCTCCTATGGTGCCCTAGAGAACAATGACAACATGCCAGAAATTTATACTCCAGCCACACTGCCAATAGTGCAGGAGCAACATGGTTCTAAAGGGGTTTCTGTTCCACCCTACCGAGTGCTGGAACACAGCAAGAAGGAGTGAGTGACGTTTAAGGAACTGAGTTGAATCTTTAGAAGTATGACCTTTATTTATTTACCTCTTTCGGTTTAAAATATAAGTATAAAGCCAGCCTTGATATAGCTTAAAGCTTGTCTCAACTTTCAAGGACAATTATTAAAATAACTTCCTATGGTTGTGAAGTGGAAAGCATTTGTTGTAGCAAGGAGTAAATGGCAGTTGTGCTTTGAAGGCCACTTTCTGGGAGTGTGAGATGGGGAGTGCCGCGTTGTGGCTGTAGGAAACCACTGCGATTGCAGGCGCTGCGGAAACGCAGAGCCCTGGCAAGAGAAGTGACTCTGCAATATAAACACATTCGCAGAAAGGCTATATCTCCAAGCTGAAGCTTTCAGGAGCTGCCCACAGTGAGAGAAGGGCAGGATTTAATGATTCATATAGAGACTGTGAAGGATTTCTGGAAAAAAATTGTAAATCCTCACGTCTCTGACACAACCACAAAACTATCTTAACATGGCAATAAAATGGCACTGTTTTCAAGCAAGAATACTGCGGCTTACTGTATCTTCGGAGTGGCATAATCACAATAAGCAAGCTACCTTTTCCTTCAAAGCATAAATCTTTAGCATTTCCTCCTTCACTAGTCTCTGACTAGGGTTGAACATATGCACTATGTGACTTGTTTTTATTGCACCACTGGATTATATGGCAGCATGAGACAAAGATTTTCTTTGCCACTTTTCTGGTTTCGTAGCGGGAGCTTGAAATTAGATCAAATGGTACAAAAGGAACAGTGTAAACTAAAAGAACACGAGGAGAATAGCAGTGTGACCAATGTAGCTGATGGGAGTTTCTGTGGTTCTGGAGGGCCAAATTTCCCATCACTTCCTTTTCTCTCTGGGCCAGGCAGAATTTCTGACTTACATCTTGTATGTATGGGTTCCCGTGTGTGTGTGTGTGTGTGTGTGTGTTTGGTTTGGTTTCTCAAAAGCAGGAAGGGTGGTGGCTTAATGTTGTGAAGGACCTAAGAAGAAAAAAGGAGCTTGCACAGTGCAGCACTCAGTGAGGGCTGTAACAATAATGCAGCTTGGTGTACTCATGATATTTATCTTTCCAGTTTCTAGGAGATGGGCAGAAGCTGATAGGAAGGGAGAATAGATGCAAGGGGAAACTTGTCCCATGAAAGGGACAAAGTGCAATGGTGATTGGTGCGTGCGAGTTGCACCTGCTCTCTAGGCAATTGCACTTTGATACCATCATCTTCTGTAAAGACAGCAGTTATGCAGGGAAGTTCTCACTGGTGTGACCTGGACTGCATGTGTGGCGGTGTCTGCATGCATTTAGAAAACCCTTTTGCAAATGAATGTCACTTGTTGTATGYGTTTCAAGTGGTCACTGATATCACTGGCCAGATTCTGCTCCCTCTACCAGAAATTCCCAAGAACTCCACTGGCTTGGAATATAGCTATTCCAACTCCTGCTGCTGTACGTGACAACAGAACTGTTCCTTGGCACGTGCTTGCCTTGCCAGCTATGAATACTGATTGAATCTGGAAATACTTGAGGCTGCTTTGTGTTGCTGAGGGSACGGCCCTGCCTGGCTCCGCAGAGCACGTGTGCACGTGCACCTCTCCAGYGTTTCACCACCAGCTTGGCATGGCTGAGCTCAGATCTTATCAGTGGCATCCTGTACACCATGGCTGATGAAACCTCAAGAAATAGCTGCTTTCCTGTTGCCTGCAATACTTTCTGTGTTCAAGTAAGATAACAATATTAATGGGCCAATATTGCCAGTACCTTAATTTCCTTGGACTTGGAATGACACTGATTTACTRCCTTTGGCTCTGTATCCTTGGTAATCAGTTTATTTTTTGGTGAATTTATGTGTGGCTTTTGTTCATTGGCGCTACAAAACAAAGTAGTATGGGGTAGGCTGACTGAGAAGGGTATAAGAGTGCTGGCTTCTCTGACCTCTTCCRTTTTAATCAATGAGGCAGCAGCTGTTTTGACCTAGTGGTTCTGAAACCACAGGAATATATGAACCCTTTTCAAAGAAGCTGTGCTATGCCATGCATGCCCACAAACTGTGCTTTTGGTCATGTTCCCTTGAATTACTAGAGGTTACCACGGTATAAAATAGTTGATCTAAAGGACCTGAATGTTGTGCTCTGGACTCCAAGTCTTTCTGTTGTCCTGCTTTATTTACCCAGTCGCGCTTACACGTTCAAGTATTTCCTGTGGTTACTGACCATTACGTTTATGTTCAGCAAGACYTGCTTTGGCAGCCTTCTGTCAAAGGGTTCCCCGGGAGATGATGTCTGTTTCTACAATACACAAATCACAAAATTTTAGGTTACTCAAGCTCAAATACAGCTGGGGGCCTTTCTTAGCCTACAGGCCTCACTTCAATGCACTGATGTTGCAAGGGCTGCTTCTTTGCCATCTTTGTTAGCCACATTAGGCATGGTAGTAGACTGCTAGATATGTTCAATGCTTGAATTTTAAAACGCATTGTGGCATAAACTGGGACATTGAGAAAACAAGCATGTTTAAACTGAGTGTGGGACTTTCCTGGTCTTCTGAACATTGTAGTGTGTAGCTCAGTGTTGAAAAATTCCTTGCCTCCCCTCTGGTGTAGCACACTTGGAAAACCAGGAAACTATTTGTACCCTCAAATCTGAACTTCTTRCAGAATATTCTTAGGGCTGAGGTGACAAGGGCCATGTCTGCAGCCAATGCAGGTAAATTGAACATAAAAAGGTAAAGGAGAAGAGCTTCATGCCACATCCTAGTCTCTCTTGCAGGCTGAAAAATATCTGCTGGTGTAAAGCACACTTTAATGTGTGTGTCAAAGCTGTAGTTTATCTAGGGGTGAGCTCCAGAGCRGCAGGGCACTGTAAGCACCAGAGGATGCTCACATTTCCAAATATGCTGCCTTTATTTCAGAACCCAGAGCTGAAAATACAGAAATGCATTGACTGCTGCCTCCTTTACTAAAATGGGGAAAAAAAACCCTCYTTAATTCTCTCTTCTTGTTTCTTTATCAAATGTGAACTGACATCTATTGCCTCTACACTGTGTGGCTTTTCAATGCACCAGAGCACTTAATATATTCTCARTGTATATTTACATGTAATTTTATGCTGTAGAATACAGCTCGGATGTTGGCTGAATGTACAAAATGATCTGCCTATAATGTTATCTTGTTCACATTACGATGTGTAAATAAATCAGGCTTTAAGATATTGGACTTAGAAGGATAACCTTAATTTTTCATAAGCAATGTTGCATGTGTATTTAAATATATTTGTGTTTTAGACCTTTGGAAGTTAAACTTATTAAAAAACTCTGATAAAAGCTATATAACTCTGGCATGTTTGATACTCTTAGGGTAGGTATAATTGACCAAAATTACCTTGAGAGGAGTTTAAGATGGAGTTGAATTCATCAGCATAAGTATGATGTGCATTCAAAGAATAAAACTTTCTTGAATAAGGTACTTGTAAAGAAAATGTGATGGTGGGACTGTAATACTAACGCTCATGCTTTTACTGCGAAGTTTAAAATATTTGGTGTCAACTTTGGGATACATGCAGTCTTCTTGAGAACTGTGGTTTGTAGCACTTAAAAAATAAACCTTAGCAGTCGTTATTTCAGAGGAAAGCTTGAAAACAGGGCCCAGGTCTCACCTAGAGGTGAAGTTATACAGAACTTGATGTAAGAGCATGATTTTCTGAGACAGAAAAGGTGTCTCAAAATACTGCTCTGTGGCGGGTGATGGAATCCCCCAGAGCACGGGTGTCACCATGACGTTGACCGCAGGGCTCGGCAGCCTGAGCGCCTTTCCCGGCACTGCCACTAAGAGATGCAGAGGGCTGTAAATCCCGTGGAACGGTTGCCAACCTCCTAAACACTTGCCAGGTAACCACAGGAGTGATTTGGAGGTCTTCAAACCCACCTGGGTGCCRCCCCATGCTCAGGTGTCCCTGCTGGACCAGGGGGGTTGGACTAGGTGATCCCTGGAGGTCCCTTMCAACCTCAACCATTCTGTGATATCGGCTTCATTCCCAGGAGATAAGCAGAAGAGAACCCTCAGGYGACATTTAATTAAGAGCACCTCTTGGGTCCTAAACAACACGTGGAAGGGCAGGAAAAGAGCAGTCTCATCCCCGTTGGTATTAAGCTGCTCTTCATGTATGTCTCTGGCTGGGACACTAGAACCCAAGCTAGGGCTTTTCTGACTGCTTAGAGCAGCAGCACTAAGTTCTACAGTTTCTGGTAAACATGGTAATCATGTTTAGGATCATTACAAAATGATCCTAACACATTACATGTGTTAGGATCATTACAAAAAGCAGCATGGTACTGAAGTGCTATGACAAAATAGCTAGTGTTTAAAATGTTCCTGAAAAATCTGCTGAAGTGGATGGAAATGGTAGCCCTTATATTAAAGCTGAATATATTGCYGGCCAGCAGTGAAGAACTTGGTATTACTGAATGAGTAAACAAGGTGATAACAACCAAAAGGGCTGAAGTAATTAAGACTAACCAATTACTGCCTAAAAATGTGCTGCATCTATCCTGGAGTGTCCCTTACCTTTCTAGAAAAAATACCTGCAATTCCTTGTTTTTATTTTTTAAGGGAAACGTCTACACTATGAACAAATAATGACAAAGACAGGTAAAGGAAATGASCTTAGCCTTTCTCCATATCTAGACTCTAGTAGAAAGCATTTAAACCGCAGAAATTCCTGTACCGAGGTCARAATCTTAGCTGTCCTCTTACTCTATAAGAGAGGACAAAGCAGCTGAGCAACATGTTTTTATCGATGCTATTCAGCAGMTACATTTGAATGTATTTTCTTTTGTGTATGTGAAAAACAGAATACGAACAATATTGTGCTTATTTTAAAGGCRAACGTACACAAGCACTCAGCCGTCACCCTGCTCAGAGCACCGCTCTCCAAGCGCATCATCCCATCGCTGGATTAAGCCGTGATTTAGTCTCGGAGACCAGGGACGCAAACTGTCGCTGCTCCCATCCGGTGAGCGTGCTCCCATCCATAYCCGTGTCCTCGAGCTGAGGCCAATTGTGAGGAAAAGCCGATTAACTCCGGTCCCCGTCTAGGGGAAGCCAGGGGCCCTTTGCAGCCCCAACTGCTGCCCTTGGCCCTGKGTGCCCGCTCCCCTTCCTCCGGCCTCAGGCTTCAAGGGCATCGCCMTGTCCTGCGGGGCCCTTCACGCCCCTCCACGGCCCCTGCTTTGTGTCCTCGGCCTCATCCTTGCGTTCCCAGGCTGCTCCTAACACCGAAAGGCCGCGGCTGCCCACATGGGAATTCCCTAGGGCCCTGTACGGTGTCTGGATCAATTCCCAGGAATTCCTTAGGGCAATGTACAGCATCTGGATCAATTCCTGGGAATTCCCTAGAGCAATGTACGGCGTCTGGATCAACTCCCGGGAATTCCCTAGGGCCATGTACGGCGTCTGGATCAATCCCCTTGCCCGCAGGGGAGGCGGCGGAGGCCACCAGAGCCCGCCGGGGAGCGCAGAAGATGCCGCGGGCTCTCGAAGGCCGCCGCGGGCCGGGCCGGGCCGGGCTCCGGGGCGGCCGCGGGGGGTCCCCGCGCAGCCCCCTCACGGGAGACACCGCCAGCGCCAACGGCCGCAACGGCCGCGGTGGCGGGAGCGGCGCGGCGCATGCGCATCAGCGCCCCCGCATCCGGGCCACGGCCCCCTCCCCGCCCGCGGCTCCCCGGGGCGCTGCGGCGGCGAGGGGGCCGCGCGCAGGCGCGCTGGGCGCCGCCGCTCCCGCCGCTCCCCGGCCCGGCCCGGCTCCCCGCCGCGGACACGGTGAGCGCCCCGCCGCCCGCTCCCTCCGCCCCGTCCCTGCCCGCGGGCTGCGCGGGGCTCGCGGCTCTCGCCTCTCCATTCGGCTCCTCCTCGGAGCATATCCCGCTCGGGAGGCTTTTGCTGTCACCATTATTTTTGGCTAAAAATAAACCGTAATGGCGCTAACGTGCGGAGGATGCGGTTGGGCGTCTGCCTCGTCCCTCGCTCGCTGCCGGCGCCGCCGTGAGCGCTGCCCGGCGCCTCCCGCGGCTCCTCGGAGCGGCGGCGGCCGCTGATCTAAAACATCAAAACAACCCAAAAAAGTGGGGGTTTTGTTTGTTTGTCTTTAGACAGTGGCCAAATGTGGATTTTGGGGGAGAGACAGTGTGTTTATTGCCCTGTGAATTRATAATATAAATATTATGCCCGGCTTAACGAGGCCCCTTGTGCCGTTTGTCCGTTTTTCTTGGTTTCGTTCGTATTTTGGGGGAGCTGCTTTGTGTTTTCCTCAACGCTTGCTCGCCGCGGTGGTTAGACACTGATCTCGGGGAGTCCGTAAACACACAAAATCGGATGAAAAACCAGCGCTCAGCTGTAGGTGTCCGACCAAAGAACGGGAACCGCGGTGCGCTCCTGTCCTACCACGCCGGGCAGCGCTTACAGTCTGCGGAAACCGCCCGGATTTAATCCTTTATGGCTGCAAGGAACACCATAGAGGGCACAGAACTGTTGATCTTACCGCCGAAATGTTTCCCTAACTTGGGCTGAGGCTGGTCATGTCAATCCTCTCTCCACAGGCTGCTTGAAGGAGCTCGGAGAATCGCCGCGACGTAACAACCTCCAAATTCCTGCTCCTGTTCTCGGAAGCAGCACGATGACTTCTCCGGTAAATCGTTTTTTATTATCTCCCTCTCTCTCATTGAGAAAATACTCATTGAGAAATACTCTCTCATTGAGAAAAACGGTAGTGACGTTGGGGAAGCTTCAGCTGCCCCCRCTCTCCCGTGCTGTGCTCACACATCATTTGAGACTCGCTTTCRTTTCACAGAGCAGAAATTAGCTTGTAGTAAAGCATTTTGTTGCTGTAATTGAAGGCTGCAATGTCGTGAATTCATATATAATGAAAAGTGAAGTCAGTGGAGCTTTTCTAATGTGTAAAGCTGGATGTGGCAGGCCTAAAAGGGCCTGTATGCCTTTCATCAAGATTCTTAAACTTCTTTATAAGACTAAATAAGTGACAGTTCTCTATTTTTGTAATTTTGCCTGAGAGCATCTCTTCTATGCAATAATATATATATTACAGTATATTATACAGCATCTGATGTGTTTCGAAATACAGCAAATTGCCGCTCAGCAAAAAACAGCATTTTCCTCATCTTAASGATATTTCTGCAAAGAAAAGGTTTATTTGGTTGTTTTCTGTGATGAACAGAAGACAGCTCTTGGATGCAGGGTCACCAGGGCTCTGATCTCAGCTCTGCTGTTGAACAATCGTGCCTTAATTTGTTTAAATTGTTAATTTTGAAGGTAATAAAACAAAGGTAATGGTACTTGTTGCTTGCCTGTTTTGCACAGGAGTGTGGATGAAATGTGTTCAGCATATGTAACCGCAAGCATCCCAAGTTTTATTTCCGTAAGGTTAAGAACTAACTGGACAATTCTGCTTAAGTCCATAGGACCAGCTCATGCATGCTGAGAATCACWGTGACCTTGCATCTCCATCTGCTTCGTAGGTTAGTTGAATCACTGATATTATATTAATTACATCCTAAAAGAATCTTGTGGGGTTTTTTCCTCCTCCTCCTCCAAATTTTCGATCTTTATGTTGTCGTGTATCCAGTCTTGTTCATCACTAATTTAAATCGTTCAGCTACATACAACATGTGTAAGCTCTCCCTTTTCTGTGCCAAATACACTTTATTGCCTTGTTTTGCAGGTCTCCTCATTCTTGTATTTGTCAGGTAACTGGCTTTTGGAAGCAGGCACATGCAGGTTAGGGGGTTGTTGTGGTGATAAATGCTCTGCTCTGTCAGGGGTCGTGCTGGGGATGCAAAAATAAGCTGGTATTTCCCTTTCAGTTCTGTCTGCACGCTGCTTGACTTGACTTCAGACATCCCTGTCCTCTTGCAGGCTGGACTGRTTGGCCCAGAACACAGTCTGGGGATCTGTGCTTCGAAGCCAGATGGTGCCTTTTGTTTTTTCCGTGCTGGGTACTTTCTTTCCCGTTTYTCTTTCCTTTCTTCATGAATCAGCCTGCGCAAGATACTGGTTTTCACCAGCTATGCGTGTTCTTTCTTTTGTTTCTTCCTTTCTGCATTGAGGAAACGCATTTTCGATGAAAATTGCTTCTTGATTTTGCTGTGCTGGGGAAGTTTAGCTATTCATAGCTTTCTAATGGCTTGGAAAAAAGGTATAACATTGAACTGGTGCAGTTATACACAAATCCACATTAATTCAGTCAGCTTTTATGTGACCACAGTGAGGATGCATTGATTTAAACTAGTTTAGCATCACCCTTCAGGTGTGTGTGGAAAGTTCATATTCAGTATTGGCCTTTCTGCTGAATGACCAACTTGAGTTTTAGCTGAAAAAGTGCATATTACTTCCACTAAGCAGTCTGGAAATTTTTTATTTTTATTTTTATTTTTATTTTTATTTTTATTTTTATTTTTATTTTTATTTTTATTTTTATTTATTTTTTATATTTTTATTTTTATGTAAAATATATACTTTTCCCATTTTCACAGGTTATTTCTCCTTCTAGAATAAAGTGTTGAGAGTGTTTGTTGTTAATTAGAGTACTTGTCTTTTGGGCAAAGATGGATTAGGGATTTTTTAAGCCCTTTGGTTTCATTTGATGGCATTTCTCAACAGCTGCTTCAAGAAATAAGTTTATAATCCCATTTCCTGCAATAGGATAAAATGAGTGTCTTTTGTTGATAAGAAAGCAAGTTGCATGTTGACTTCTGTTCTTTGTAAAGTTATTAATCTTAAAGAGCAGTCATGGAAGATGCAGTTTCTTGGCAAATTATGACACTGTTTTTTNTTTTATTTTATTTTATTTTATTTTATTTTATTTTATTTTATTTTATTTTATTTTATTTTATTTTATTTTATTTTATTTTATTTTTAATTTGCTTTTTTTTGGAATGTCAGACTTCTATTAGAAACTCTGGAGCTTAAACAGTTGCTTTGGGTAGACGATGCTCAGAGAGACTATGAAGTCCTGGAGCGACAGCCAGTCAGACCTCTATAGCAGTGACCAAGAAGAAGAAGAACAGATGATTTTTGGAGAAAATGAAGAAGATTTGGAAGAGATGATGGATTTAAGTGACTTGCCTACCTCACTCTTTGCTTGCAGTGTCCATGAAGCTGTGTTTGAGGTACAAGAAGAAAAGGTAAGATGGCCTAAGGCATATTTGGAGTATAGTATTGTAAATATAGATACTCATAGCACATTTTGGTCTGGATTTCCAGTGCATTACTGCATATTTTGATTGAAAAATCATGATATATTTACCAGTAAGCCCAGATCAGAATGAGTACAGTTGCCAAAGAGCAGGTAACACTGCACTTTCCTGGCATTTCAAATTGTTGATGGATATGCAATGCTTCTCCCACGAAAAGATCCCCTGTTTTCTTTTCTGTTTATCCAAGGTGTACTAAAGGCAAGGGCAGATTTAAATAAAATCCAAAGACAAATTTAAATATATTATTTCAAGGCAAGGATTCTTTTAAAAGAGCGTTATATATTTTCAGGCTRCGTTTTCTGGTTGGAAATAATAAAGCACCTTGAATGTGGCTTCAGCCTTTACTGTTAAGATAAGGCAGCTGCAGAGGTAATCCAGCTTGTGGTGGTCTGTGATCTGACTGCTTAAACATGAAATTCCTTTCCTTTCTTGCCTGTTTCTTGTCTGTTCTCTGCCATTCTGAAGAGGCATCTGCCAAAAAGCTTTTTTTTTTGTATTCGTGTCTAAAGTACCACCTTTTTTTTTTTTTTTTAATATTTTTTTTTTGTATGAGTTGACTTCACACTGCTGCTGGGAAAACAGGGCGCGGGTAGTTCTAACAACGGTTGTTAGAAAATACAGGGACAACTGGAAGTCAGTAAGCAGTGCGAAATAGACTGGAAATGAATCCTGAATCAGAAGAGTTTTTAAAGCAGCTTATGGRTCTCCATTTGGCTAGAGGAGGGAGGATTACATAATAGGAGCTATTGCTCTTGCAGCTTGTTGTGATCATACTCTTGTGGCTGCAGGAAAAAAAAAAGCGCCAGAAAAGGTTGTTAAGTGTTTTTAGTGGCTTATTTCCAGATACAGCACTTTTAATTTTTCTTTTCCAAGTGTCCTAGAGAGAACAGCGTAGCAGCTCATTAACCACTATTTATCTGCCTGCTGCTGAGTGATTCCCTTGAAGGAGCCCGAGTTGTTGCGAGGCAGTTTGGATTGGTAGAAAAGTTGATTTCTAGCCTTGTATATTAGCAATGGATTTTCACTGGAAAACGAAGCAGACGGAGCATAAAATGTGTAACKTGTATGTTGTCTAATTAAAAACAAAAAAAAAAAGAAAAAAAAAAGGCATCTTGAAGATATGTTTTTATGTTGCTGATGACTTTTAAATTCCTGTTTTCACTGGTTCCACCTCCAGCTCAAACGCCCTTTACAAGTGGTGAGCAGCCTGAGTGATTGCTGCTCTTGGAAGAAGGTAGTAAAGCATCTCTTAATCAATACGAGTTTAAATAACGCGCTCAATTAATTTAGCTGGCGCCACTGAAACAGCAGTGACCCATAATCCATTAATTCCACCCATAATCCATTAATTCCACCGTATAGAAGGTATGTGCTGGAGGTGGCTGCCTCGCTCAGTTGTCTTGCACGTGTCTACGTGTGATTTGTCATTTTTATTCCCCTTTGCTTTTCCTACGGTGCTCTGTGGGCACTCGAGCCTTATCAAGGGAGTGCACTGGCTCTTCTTCAAATGACACCTAATTGCCAGCCACATGAGACCATTTCTCAGATACCTCCAAGAATGGAGTTTGTGCATCAAATTGCAGGGAAGTTTTGTTTAGATGTGTCATATACCTCCTTGGATATTTTTTCCTTTGCAAATATAGTTTGTGAAGCATATTGATGATACTGTCAGCAAGCTCATCTCAGCTGATTCATATTGCTGGCCAAGACATTGATTTATAATAGGTCAGAATTGTATGTTATATCTCTAAATGAGAACTTACTATGCAGGCTTATGCCTAGTGCTCAAAGAAGCAGAGCTGCCTTGTGTTAATATTGCACTTTTACCTGCGTAACGAAATCCTGCTTTGTCAGCCTCTGGACAGATGTTGCAATGGCTTCATTTATTTCTGCCTACATCTTCTTTTAAAGGCTGAATGCACAGCACACATAGGTACCGAATCAAAGGGAGAACATACTGCCTGTGCATAAAGCAGTTTGGAAATTTATSGTTTCTTTGAGGGCTTGGGTGACAATTCCAGATTATACTACCTAGAGATGGTCAAGCTAATGCTGGCAAAGCAGGCAGCACTTGCAAGCAGACAGTGTCAAAATCAGTCCTCATCTCTTGTTTTGTTTTTTATTTTTTCAGTAGCCACAATTGTAAATAAGCACTTGTCTGATGTGATGTATGGGCACAAATATTTCATGCTGATTATTCTTATTTGTGGAAGTTGAAGCACTTTGTATTAGCAAGTTATGCTGAATGTCCGTGTGAGGAGAAAAGGCTAAAAAAGACATTGCTCATTTCAAATCTAGATATTTGATTCTTGCAGTCAGCCTGTCCTTGGATTCTATTTCTGCCCTGCTTCTTTCATCTTTTTTGACAATTTTCTAGTTATATTTATTTTTACCCTGTTGCTTTGTTAAAGCAGCATCTAAACAAAAGTGGAAAGTGCCTGCATAAAACATAAATTGGTATGTTTATATATATATATATGTGTGTGTATATTTACAGCTCTACTTTTGGATAACTGTCACTAGGTGGCAGCACATGTATGGAGAGTTATTTACACTCCTGATATCTGGATTGGGGTAGTACAACATGATATTGCACTGAATACAAATTTGTAAGTTGATGTAACTGAGTGAGGTATGGAGTGTGCAAGTTTGGAAGGCAATTAAGGACACGAGTGATAAGATTTGGATGAGCAAAGTGAAAGGAAAATGTGTTTTCATTGAGTGAAAATGTTCATTTTGTGTTTGGAGAATCTTTGTACTTCATCTTTAGGAAAGATTTGAAGCACTTTTCACAGTCTATGATAATCAAGTTACATTCCAGTTGTTTAAAAGCTTTAGAAGAGTAAGGATAAACTTCAGCAATCCAGAGGCAGCAGCAAGAGCACGGATAGAGCTACATGAGACTGACTTCAATGAGAAAAAGTTGAAGCTGTATTTTGCACAGGTAATACAGAACATAAAGATGTTCCACGTGTATCCTTGTTTCTTTTCTGTTCCACATTTATTCGTGAGCTTCATTTCTGAAAAAGTTCTGGAGCTCCCATTGACCTCTAATTCTTCTACACTGATGTGAATTCTCAACGAGAGAAAATAACACATATTTTAGGGACTATTTTAGGCTTATGATTATAGAGCTGCATTTAGTACAGAACAATCACTTTGTGGGCTGAATTAAACAATACAAATACAAAGAACGGTTCTGCATTACCAGTAGACTAAATAGAGAATTATTATTGATGATTTTGTTCCATATGTGCTGGCTTTTGTCTCCAGGCACAGGTTTCTGGTGAAATAGGAGACAAGTCCTACCTTCTTCCTCCACAACCTGTCAAGCAGTTCCTGATATCACCACCTGCGTCTCCACCAGTTGGATGGAAGCAGAGTGAAGATGCGACTCCGCTTATAAACTATGACCTGCTTTGTGCTGTCTCCAAGTTGGGTCCAGGTAGGAATTTCTACCTGCTTTTGTAGTGTTGCTTAACTTCAAAATAGCTGTAGTCAGCCTGTTGCAGATGTCTGATTGGGGTAGTTCAGGGCGTTAGCCAGTCCTCCATGTGTTTGTCAGGCTTTTTAATGGCACTTCCTGGGAAACACAGAATCACAGAATGTTCAAGGTTGGAAGGCACCTCTAGAGATSATCTAGTCCAACCTTCCTGCTCAAGCAGGGATACCCAGAGCATGTGGCACAGGGTGGCATCCAAGCGGGTTGGGAGACCTCCAGAGAAGGAGCCTCCCCAGTCTCCCTAGGCAGCCTGTGCCAGGGCTCTGGCACCYTCACAGTGCAGAAGTTCCTCCTCACCTGGAGATGGAACCTCCTGTGTTTCAGCTTGCACCCATTACCCCTTGTCCTGTCACTGGCCACTAATGAGAAGAGCTTGGCCYCTTCTTCCCTGCATTCTCCCTTCATGAACTTATCCATGTTAATCAGATCCCCTCTCAGCGAGGTAGGGCAGGGATTTGGGCTGTTCTACGGGAGCTAGGGGCTCTGCGGAGCAGCATTGCAGAGCGGAGAGCTGCTGCCCTGGCCTCTGGGAAGGTCGCTGCGGAGCACACGGCAYTGACGATATTGCCCAGGGAACTGGTTAATGTTTTCAAAGGTTTTCAGAACTTTTCACTTGAAGATGTCACATGAATGCATAGCGTAAATGATATAGTGAAGACATCAGAAAACCAGTGGCATTTCAAGTGGTATCATGTTACTTCCATGCTTTACTCCTTCCATTAAATACTGTTTGTATTTGCAGTACAGTATGAGGGATAAAGGCCTGTTCTAAAATATGTAGTAAGCTGGATCAAGTATGGAAGTTGAACAAATAAAATGTGAAAACAAGAAAATAATAACTTGGTTGCATTGCTGTAGTTCTTAAGGAGACTTGAAGGGGCTTGATACTGTTCTGTAAGGATGTTCTTGGTGTGATTTTTTTTTCTTGTTTTGTTTGCTGCTCTTCAGGGGAGAAGTACGAACTTCATGCAGGAACAGAATCGACTCCTAGTGTAGTGGTCCATGTCTGTGAAAGTGAGACGGAGGAGGAAGAGGAAATAAAAAACCCCAAGCAGAAGATCATGCAGACGAGGCGTCCAGAACCRCCTGCAATACTGAATGAATCCAAAGCGTTTGATTGTACACTGGAGGTAGGGGGTACTATGCACTGTTAAATCATGTGCTGCTCAAGGCAGTATCAGCCATCAGACATGCAGTGAGTAACTGATGTTTGTACTACTGCTATGTGTTTTAAATAGCAGCAAGTTTTACCTGTAGTTGTCTCTCATGTTCAAATTTTGGATGCCAGTGCTCTAAAAAGCACTATAGTTTTAAGGACTGGGTTCCCAATGTAGCAAATTCCCCTGACTTGAATAGTGAAAAATGAGAAGTGCTTTTCTTTCTTCCTATTTTTTTTAAGCTGTTACCATACTCTTTATACTGAATAGTGTGATGTACTGAGTGTTGAAATAATACCTTTATATTACTATTGGATTCAAGAGAGTTCAGTGTGTAGCTGTTACAGCTGATTTGTACCGGTACAACAGCTTCCAGTTAATATAATGATTAAGTGTAACGTACTCTTTATGTTAAAATGCCTTCCCAGCTAGTGATCTCCCGAGGTGGCTGATTTGCAAATTGATCATTCGTGAAAGTGCTCTGCTTACCTCTCTCAGAATTGCCAAGCGTTTGCTCTTAAWTTGACATGAGGCACAACGGGGACAATTACAGGTATGGAACTGAATTAAAGTAGTTTCTTTAACTGATTGGAGAAGAAAACAGCAGGATGAACCCGAGACCCCCGAGAAGGCAGAGTCCAGGCCTGTCTCCAAAGCTGCTGCTGCCCTCACTGATAGCTGCAGTAGTTTGCACTGACAGCTAATTCAAGGGAGTTGCAGTGAAGCGAGAGGTGGGTTCAGCTGTTACGTGCACCGTCCCTGATCTTCTCCCAAAAGCTGGTAGCGTTTGTTCCTCTCCAGTCCTGGGGATGGCCTACATGTATAAATAAATTCAGTGACTACTATATTATGACTAAATGATGTTAGGAAATAAAAAAGTCCAGGGTTGTTTTTGAACCTATGTACTTGTGCTTCTATAGTCCTTTTTTCTCTCTCTCTTTTTCTTTTCCTTTCCTTTTTTTTTTTTTTTTTTTTTTTTTTTTTTTTTTTTTTTTTTTTTTTTTTTTTTTTTTTTTTTTTTTTTTTTTTTTTTTTTGCCTGGTTTAACAAGCTTTTTATGCATTTTTGGCACTTGTTTTTTTTTTTTTTTTTTTAATTTGCCTGGTTTAACAAGCTTTTTATGCATTTTTGGCACTTGTTTCCTATTTTTCATTGAGACGTTGTGTGTGTGTGTCATCCTGTGTGTCTAATCAAGCAGCTGCTAGTTCTGACACCAGGATACCTCTTTTTAAGCATAGATCTGTCAGATTGTAAATTTGTGTTAAGTGTTTCAGTAGAAGGAAGATACACATCAGTATAGTGGCACATGCTTCTGTGCTATTTTATAACCAACCTTTTTTAGTCGACACAGATTCTTCTTTTTCTATTAAAAAGCGAATTATTTGTGAACAAACAAGCCTGCTTATGTTCACATATATAAATCACAAATTGGCCTTTTTCAAGTCATTTTAGTGTTGTTCAGTTCCATATAAAGTGGTTATTGATCTTTCAAAAGTGTTTTGGCTTGATTGACAGCACAGAGGAAGAAGTGGACGTGGGTTTGTGTCCTTGCTTGAAACTCCATGTCGTGCCAGCTCTTGATCCTTTCCTGTCACCAGCTGCAAGTCGCAAAATAGGATCCTGCAGGCAGGTCCTCGTTCCAGAGGCAGGAATCGTGTATAATAAACACATTGGCAGATGTTTTCTGTTCGTCTGGCCTCCACAGGCACGATATCTATGTGTATCTTCAGGTATTACAGTCACTCGGTCTGAATTCTGTTTCACCATTCCACTGTAAATGACTTGTATTGTCCCTCAGGTTTGTGCATTTTGAAATTCCAGAAATCCATTTGGGATCTTCTGTGGTGTTTGTATTAATTGATTCATTTCTATCCCGTTGTAAAAGTCGGTATAAGTAGGGTTTAAGTGGAAAAAACTTCACAAATGGTTTTTTAAGGCAAATAAACCCAGTAACGTTATTGTCAATGTATCTTCTGTAGAATGTGTAAGAACCTGCATTCCAGCATCTTTCACTGTGTAAAGAGACTTACAATAAAAGCAATGCAGTGCCATTCACCTATTTTTCTTTAACTGCATTACATATTGGCCCAAATTATGTATTTATTTCCAAAGCCTTCTCGAAGTTACGTGTTGCAACAAGACTGTGTTTGCACGTTGGTCCAGGTCGTGTGGAGGTTTTCCAAAGCCAATTACTGCTAAGGGAAAGGGCTGCGCGGGAAGTCCCTGAGGATTTCTGTTGGAAAATACAGGGAATTTCTGCGTTAGCCAATAGAGGGAGGCCGTGTTCCCTTCTCCTCATGCACTTTGGGGGAATAACAGGCGATTCTGTGGTTCTGTTTCAGACTCTTTACCGTGTGCGCTCTGCCCGGCCACGCGACGGTGCCGGCGTCTCCCCTGGAGCCCCTGCCCCGCGCTCGGTGTCGGAGGAGCCGCAGGGAATTACGTGTCCAGCTCCTCCGCAAACGCTGGCACAGGCGAGCGAGGAGGAGGAGGAGGGAGAGGCGCGTAGGGCAGAGGAACCTGGAAGCTCCCGGGGGTCCTTGTTAGCGGTGACTCCGCTCCGGCGCGGCGGGCACTCGGAATTGCCGTCCTGGCTCGCGTGGCCATCCAGGAGCCTCCGTTACCTCTCTCTTTTTCCTCAATACCGACCTACCGGTATCTGCGGGGCTGTTTTTCAGAAGCAGACCTGCACAAGAGGGCCGACTGTGCCGAGTCCTTTCTAAGCATGTACTTTGTATAAATAAATATCCCAAATTCCTTTAAGGAGTTCTTCCCTAGAAGCAGCTGAAAAAATGTTTGTTATTTTTTTTTCCTTTAGGCAGTCTGCCCATGTGTTCTGTAGACGGGTTTCTCAGGGGTGCTCTGTTCTTATTTTATAGCCATTAAGAGCAGGGTCTGGTTTCATGATCCTATAATTATTTATTTCTCATTCCATTTCTCCCTTGTTACTGAATCCCAACCCACCCATMCCCAGGAGAACCTCACATAAAAAATGTCTCTGCTTAATTTATTCTCTGAAAAAAAACGCTTCCATTTTTGTCTGCTTTTGCATTACTGCTCTCAGCACGCAGTGGAAGACTGTCTTATGAATCTTCTGCTTACCTGCTTTTGTGACCTTGCTCTGCTTAATGCATGAAAGCTTTCTCGGAGGGGTTCATGGTCCAGYGTGCTTCTGACGTGGAAGGAGACCCCTGCCAAACCTCATTCCCTTGGGAAGAAATGCAGAAGGATTTCCTCCGCTAAAGCAAACAGGATGTGCACAGCTGGCTGCGTCTGTGGGTCTTTGTTCCTGGGTGGGCTCTGGTGGCACCTGCAGCAGATCGTTCTGGTTGCTCCATTCTGGGCATTGACGGGCAGCCCGAGGTGCAGCCGAGCTGGACGCTGAGGCTGCAGGAGGGAGGTCTGGCCCCTGATGTCCTGCACTTCTCCAGCGTCTGTTTAACTTCCTTGTTCTGGGCAAGAAGGTAAGTTCTGATTTATGCCGATATTCCTTCTGATAAAGCACTCCTTTTTCTCCTGTAGCTAATCGCAGGTTTGAAGCTGCAGTGGGAGCGACTCCACGGTTGTCTCCTAACATCCATCACGTAGCCTTAGGAAAGACCGGCCATGGGGCTGGATCCATCCCCTCCTCTAAAGATCAGGCCTTGAGACAGTCTCGTGGTACCCACCTAATGGCAATACAGGTGGTGAGTTATTCTTTGGTCATTTATGAATTTTATTTTTAAACTGTATTCATATTCTACTCGAAAAGAAAAAGAAGTTACTGCATTGAAATCCTGTTGTGAACAAGGTTGCTTTTAACATGCTGGCAGGTCGAGGCTTGCAGAAAGGAATGTTTGATTTACTGGGTGAAGCGAACGTATTCCAGCTGCAGTATCAGGAAGCCACGTGCCAACAGCACGAGGGAGAGCCCACAACAAAGTCACATACTAATGGGAATCTGTTGTTTCGCTGGGGTACATGCAGTACAAAAGATAAATTATTTCTCCTTTTTAACTCCATAGCTAACGACCACTTTCCTRGGTGGCTAACGTAGCCCAGGGAGCAGAGGATGGGAAAGGCAACGTTGTGTTTTCCCCTTTGGCTTAAGTCAACTGATGTGCCCTTCAGTTAGGGCAGATTGGTTTGATTCTATACTTTAGGTTCCCCCCTTGCAGCTGTGGTTTAAGCTCTTTCCTGACTGCGGGTGAATGTGAGAATCAGGGGTCCTGATTTCCTATGACAACTCTGGGTACAATAATGAATTTAGAATAAGCTGTGACAACGGCTGCAGTGTCTGTTGGTGGGTTTTTATTGCTTTATTTTGTTTTAAAGAGGACAGTTCCAGTCTCTCCAACTCCAAACTCAGGCAGTGGTGCTGCAGACTGACCTCTTGCTCTAGGAGGAGCATGMTAACTTGCTGAAAGCCTAAGCTCAATGAGAGGGAGCGAGATGAAGGGTATTATTAAGTTATGCCACTTCCTTATGATTTTTTGTAATTAAATTAAACCCAAAGTTAAACCCAGTTGTCCAGATGAGTTTAGTTATAAAAACAATGACAAGTCTATGAGCARCTCTACGATTCCTGTATGACACTGGCTTGTTTTGCACTGGAGGTCAGCAGTGAGAGGTCAGCACCTCCTAGCACTGCACCTGCAGCTTCTAAGTAAGGTCCTGTGTTAGGATCTACCTTAGGTCCTTTGGTGCCCACAGAGTTTCCACTGGCTTCATTGTAATTGCACCGGAGCGTCCCATTGTTGGACCCTTCATTAACACGCTGCTGGGGAGGTTCTTCCTCAGCTCAGGGAGGTGGGAAAGGTTTTGCTATATGTGACATTAATGCACAGCATGGTGTCCACGTGTGCTCCAAGGCTTCCTGTTGCCCGAATTATCCACTGGCAGCTTTCCCCRGCAGCTCCCCACGCAGCTGCCCAACTGTTGGGACGAGCTTCGTGTCAGAAGGGTCTGACAGCTCAGCAGAGCAAAGGTTGTGCTAAATACATCTTGGTTTTTATTGCCGTGACAAATAACTCTGTCCTTCGGAACTGCGAGATCGAGAAGCTTTTGTGCCACAGAATTCCAGACGCCTGGAATCTCAACCAGAGTCAGTCTCCTCCGTTTGAGTCTGAATCCTCTGCATCTATAGAGATTAACCGATAAAAYGGAGCAGAGAACAAGTGAGACCTCAAGTCCATGCTGCTGAACAAGCCCAAATTGCTCCATARATGTTATTGTCTAGAGCTGTGGCTGCACGGACAGAGCACTGCCTGCTGCGAGAGCAGCGCCCTGGAAACGGGGCCCTTCCCGAGGTGCTGTAACGAGCCAGAGCCGGCGACTCGCCCAGCGACGCCCCGGGCCGGTGTCGTGTCTGTACCATCATCAGCCCCTCTTCCCGTCAGTATCTGCCGGCGTCGGGGCTTTGGAACCTCGTTAGGAAGAAATTCCTCCGTGTGCGGCATCTTCCAGCAGCCCCAGCTTGACGCTGTCCCCAGCGTGGTCTCCTGGCTTCCGTGTGGGAGCGAGGAAGGCCAAGAAGTCCTCAAGGAACATCGAGGTGTCAGACGGGCCGTCCTGGAACCGGGTGACTCTGGAGAGA